GGGGCTCCCGCGGCGCTTATCGGCTCCCTGGTAGTCTCTTGTCGCTGTTTGCTTTTCCCCTTGGGCGAAGCAATGAAAAGTGACTTAAATAGTGTTTTAATAAGTCTGGCTGTTAAGCAGTGGCCAACAGTAGTCTTTACTTCTCATTAGCGCCTATGGTGCTTGTTTGCTGGAGTCGTGTGCGTGTGTATGTGTAAAGAAGCCAAGCAGGGAGGCAGAGCTCTAAAAGCAGATACACGACTATTCTGGTGCGGGAAAGGCGCCTGCTGCCTCTCTGGAGCTCTGCGTGCTCAAGGAACCGGTCGGGGAGCGTGTTGGCACAGTGCGGAAGGCAGGCGCTTGCCCTGGCTTTGCCCATTCATCCAGGGGCAAAAGTGGTGGAGCAGGAGCTGCTGTCCTTGGCCTCTCTTAAAGATGGTGTTAGCAGAGGCTGAAATGAGCAGTGCCATTTTATAACTTTACGTGTGTTTCTAAAGTATGAGCAAGATTCAACACTCTTAACCTTTGGGGAAGGTCAGAGACTCTATAAAGCTTAATCTTGTGTCAGTAAATGGCCTCTGTTCTACTCTTGACAATTGCAGCTGATGTGCTTTACTGTGACTTCTAAGTGTGAATAAAGCTCTTCATTTTTAAAACTGAGATTTACTGTGAGAGAACTGACACAAATCAATTAAATGAAGCTTTGCAGGCCTCTTATTACATCAGTTGTCTACTTTCTCTAAACCTAAAGAGACCACCCTCAAAATAGGGGAGATTATAGTGAAAGCCAAATTACATGGCAAATCTTTTGTAATCATTTATCTCTGAGCTGCTGTTTGTTAATTTGTGCATATACTGAATAATATCTTTCTAACCTTATATGAATCTGCCATTTTGGATCACTATTTCAAGCTTGTTTTGAGACTTAGAAATGCGTCATGTGGCTAATGATACTAAAAACCTGTATAATGTTAGCTAGTCGTACCTCAGGTAAGTGAGCTACTCTTGGTCCCAGCCATCTTGTCACTGCACACAGATCTTTAGAAATTCAAATGCATTTTTCATTAAAATGATTCATTCTTTAATGTGTGCCTCTGATTTTCAAGAATTCCTAATGTTCCAAAGTGTGGTTTTGAGACTACACAAGGACTTTTTTAATAGCATCAGTTACTCATTGGTCTTGAAAGTCTCTGAACAAAACTTAAGAAACAATACACTTCTAGCTTGTGATAGGTCATATGTTCACTCCCAAACTGCGTATTGGTCAGACTGCCATCCCGCAGTGGTATGCTATTATACTGTTTCTCATGTTGTTGTGACCAAGTCTTATTAGGGTTAGATGTCTACCAGAATAACTCTTCAGAAAGCTGAAATGTTGATGTGCCTTCTTTAATGTGGCCACAGTGTGTATTCAACAAGCTCATCCCCAGGTTGCTGTGTCAGCTAGTCCTTAAATCGCTCAAAGGTCTAACCACCATGGAAAAGCCCAACGTGCCGCTACACCACGATGTTTCTTGGGGCAGTATCCTGGCATTAGGACGTCTGAGATTGTAAACTGAGAATTTCTGATTAAAGAGTCATTCTGAAAATAACACTTTATGAAAAGCTCTGGAATGATAGTCTGCTTTAAAACAAATTATGACAGTGAACTCCTTGTGGTTGGGACTTCTTGAAGCACTTGAACCAAACGCTCGGACGTATTTCTGTATCAGCCTGTATACTCCATGACCATAGTCATACGCTGCAACAGTAATAAGCATCACTGGGTCAGTCAGCAGTGGTTCCCTCCTCAAAGGAGGGTTACCTCTCACTTCCATTGAACAAAACTGTTTTGCTTGCTCTTTCTGCCCAATAGCTAAAGTGTGGAGCCAAGGGCTGTGTTTGTTGTAAAAATGTAGTGATGATGATTCTGGTCAGGAAAAGTGTGTCTGCAAGGGCTGAACTTAATGTCTGTTGTAGATTGTATTAAAATCTGGCATACTGAAAACTTCAAATGGTAGGCATTTGTAGTTATTAATTCTCCAAGTCTTTGTTTTGCTAGCCCTGCCTTAGATGTGCTGCTGAATTCAGCTGTGCTGACAGGATACCTATACATGTGCATATACACCCATAGCATGGGAGAAAATGTTTATTTAAGAATGTTACACTTTTTTTCTTCATGTGGCTTTTGGTCTCTACCTGTTTGGAATACCTGTTTGGAACCCCCAGCAGGAGGACAGTGTGCTTTATTATGTAGTTATTGAACATGTGTGAAATGCATAGGTTTCATAATAATCTTTGGTTTCATTTTAACTTTGTTGAGCTGAAAGGGTAGAGTTTGGGGAGATCAAACAAGTCAGCCTTGTCTGACAAGGAAAACAGAAGTGGGGAACTCCTCAACTCCTTGCGCTCCAGGTCCTTGCAGCAGTGCTGCTGCCCTCCATTCTCCTACAGCAGATGAAGAGGCTTCGAAGTGTACTGCAAAACTCTGCTTGTGTGTATTTGTATTTCTTCCTTCCATTTTTCTCCCACCATTTTTTGACTTGAATAACTTTAAATGTTCTCCCTGTCTTCCTAAAAAGCAAAAATGGATAAATGCTATAAGCTGCTGTTGGGTAGGCTTCATACTTGCACGTATTAAGAGTTTTCAACAGGGTTGAGATCAGTGAGTTGAAATAACTGTGCATGCATATGGATTTTTTTTTCTGTTAAACAGGTTAAGTTTCTTCTTGCCTGAAGGCCATTTGGATTAGGGAAGTGGAATTATTTGTGGCTTTGAGTCACCATCTTGCTGGATGTTTTCTTTGTTAGTTATCCTCTTAGAATACGAAGACACCTGTGTGTTTTTTTTTTTTTTTTTGTTAGTTCCAGAACCTTAACTTTAAAGCTCCGACTTGATAGTAATGGTCTTGATGACATTGGGGTAGTATATTATTCTGGCAAAACTGTTTATAGTACCAATTTTGGGGCCTCAGGTTTGCTCTGTCATGTTGTCCTTGGAGTATCTGGTGTTGAGCATCCCTTGGGATGTGGCAATTCATTTAGAGCAGATGTAGAGCTGATGTGTCAGGGATGCCAGGATGAGTGTGAGGAATAGCTCTTTGGTATTTACTGTGTTCCTCTTGTGGCATGAAGACAGGAGGAGATATGGAATGTCTGGCCTGTGTTATGTGAGAAGCTGGACCAAGTTACACATGTTGTCCTCTCTAGTCTTGGTCTTTTAGGTTAAGAATGGGTATTCTGATTTGGCAAATGTTGCAAGGCAAATAAGAAAGGTCATCATCTTTGAGATACCCCTTTTCAGCTGCTGTATTCAGACACTGCCATCCTGCAGAGCTTGTCTTCGGGACCTGCTTCTGTTAGGACTCTGAGTCTCCCCTACCTTTTTGGA